TATATCATTTAGCTATTGCCAAGCCCTATATCATGTATGCTACATTCGTGTTATATACCCAAATAACAGAGGCTGAGTTCGATCACGAAACAGTAACGTTTTGGATAATTGAATGTTGGCGATAAGATGATAAGAGAGCAAAACTGAATCAACGCTACCGATCATTCTTTCGCGATTCAAGTAGAGAATCTGTTGCACATGTGCTGCCTTCATACGCTGCACTACAGACTGTGTACGCAGATCCCAAACAAACAACGCTTCTGATTCGACGCATACGATTTGCTGAGCATCCGCTGAGATCATACAGTGCGTAACCACTGCGCCATGCTCGTTGGCCACTAATGTTGCGATATATTTGTGTGATCTGAATGAGGATTGCTTCTTCTCGTTAAAATTGTTTTCTCAATCCCAAACAATCAAGTAGTTTCCTCATGAAGATAGAACTGCGAAAATTGCTAACCGTAACAGCACTTTCTGCTGGAGACTATAAAAATTAAATTAAAATTTTTTCACCTCACATTCCAGAGGCCCAAATTTTTTCTGGTTTGTACAACAGCCATCGACGGAGCATTACGAGCAATGTGAATCGCTTCGATCGGTTGATCCATCATCGATACGGAAAACGATTTTTCGAAAATATTTTCCATGTTCCACATCTAACAATAAGCGCAAATACTTCTGATCAGTTTCGGTTTGCTTTCATTACCGTTGAATATAATAGTTTTTGAAAGATTTTCAGACCATGTAAAAATGAAACAAATTCCTCAGAATTCAACCATTTGAAAAGAAAATTCTAATATGCGCACGTGACCTTATAAACTGACGCGAATGACTGGGAAGAAGCTTTGAAAATTCGGATGTTAAAAGAGCTGGAGTGACATTCTTTCGAGAGTGAATTTAAAAACTCATGAATATCCTACTTTAATGCTGTGATCAAGAGATGAAGATAACAGAACATTTTGTCCGTTGATTGTTAGAGCACACAGATTCAGCGTACGACCGAAGTGAGCATCGACAGAGCGTAATAACTACAAAAGAACAAAAGCTCATTCAGTTAGTTGATCCGAATTTCCGTCATTAAATCCATTTATAGGATAACAAAGCAGTCCAGTAAGTTCGATCAGAAAATATGACGATGTGGCCCTTCACCTGCTCGGTTTTCATATCCCATAAATAGAGATATTTTCGTACTCCAGCCACAAAAATTCTATCTTCCGAAGCGAGTGTAATGGCTGTTGTTGTGTGCATTGGACGAATTGGGATATTCCGAACGCCTGTTGGCAAACGGAGATTTACAAGTTTGCGAGCGAGTTTCGTTTCGAACAGGAGAAAACCCTGGAAAAAAATTCTTGTAAAACTCAAACCTCTTTTACAATAATCCAGACTGTAATTTCTTCACTGCGCAGTGGATTGTTGAGAATTCGCAGGGGAGCGAGACTGACAAGAGAATTATGGGAAAAATATTCTATAATTTTTGGTTGTTTCATGCGGTTTGCTTGCTAACAGTTGACAGACGAATCGATTCGATATCAAAAGTGAATAATATCTTGCCTCAACAAAAACAGCAACAAGCCAGCATTTGGGTTGAGCATCCGGTCGTTTCCATATGAATATTGCGTTTGCTCGTTCGTCGATACAATCGGCAATTTTGTCGCCCAATACCACTTGCTCATCACGAATATCGAACGCAACAATTGAGTAGCTTCTGGTGTCACCTTCATTCAAAACAACCGTAACAGCATCAGACAAGTATCAATTTGCGCAAAGAAAGAATAATGCGAGTGAAACTTCGATATGTCAGCTAATAAAAATTTAATAGCAAAATTCATTGATTGTATAAAGTAATTGCTTATACAATGTAACGTCTGAGGGCTAGATCATTGTAATATTACTTGTCAATATTGTAATATACTAATACTTGTGATAATATCAATAGATCAAATTCGATGTAATATCGTATACAGTAATTACTTATACGTCTGAGGGCTAGATCCTAACGTTAAATCTTCTGTACAATAGCGATCGTATCAAGTGCTAAGATGGCGATCTTACTCGAGTTTGTATCGCATTCAATACATAAGTACCCAGACATGAACGAGTCATCCTCGAAAGCCAACGATGCACAGAATGTGAACTGTTGCAGTGTGTAGTAACCATCTGGCGCCGTATAATCCTCTTGTTTTCCGCTGAGCACGAGAGACCAATCGTCTCTTGCGCCTGACCATGTGACGAAACGAATATGATACTCGGACTTATAGAACACATAGACAAGACACTAAAAAGCAAGCAAATATCTCAGCTTCTTCATGAAGAATGTGACTCAACTGAATATTGAGTGCAGTCGATGTTATGAGGTGGTTTCGGATTAGGAGGAAGTGCAGTGTTGCAACGATAAAACGTTCACCTTTTCGGCAGATTTCTCTTCACCTTCAGCGATGAGTTTACCTTGAAAATCGTACAAGTAATACTTTGACTTTGTCCAAATCAATAGGTGATTAGACGATGTGAAATAAATATTATCAATTTCCATTTGACGTGATAGCGATTGATGTGCAATGTCGATGAATTCACCTGTTATTAAGGACAACAAGATTACCTGGAACACAGTGAATTGGTCATCTTTTTTATTAAATTCTTCAGTAAGGATTCGAATGATGTAGCGCAGAAATATGGGTAGTTGATTTGTTTTAATTTCACTATGATCTGTTGATTAGTTTTCGGTAGTGTTTTCGACAGGCATTTGTACTTGTCAAAATACATGGAACAAGCAAATCAGTCTCAAATAACAAGCAAATTCAAAATCCACCTGATTATTATTGCTATATGCGGCCGCATATCGGTCATCTTTGGTAAGTGCTAAACCGAAAAATATCCCCTCAATATTCGGATTTACAACTCGAGCGATATCTCCAGTTGTGATATCCCAAATGATGAATATATTCGATATCGTGACTAGCATCTTTTGGTCGGACGTCAACTCCATACCGAAGACAGCGAATTGATGCTCCTTGAAGGTTGCAAATTCAGTTTTCTTGGTTCAGTTTTAATATGGAACTGTACTGGATGAATTAGCTGGCCAACTTATTTGTAGTGATTCAAGATGGAAAAACAGTTAAGTTCAAGCAAGAAATTATACGGGAGTGACCTCCAATGAGTATTTGAGAGGTCCTCCGGGTGAATGAAACGCATGATGTGCAGGCAGAAAACAGCTGGTTTGTGGTCCTTGAATGTCGCATTTGACGAGCAAAGAGCTCAGGCTAGTGTTATCTGCAGCCAATGGGAGCAGACGACCGAGCAATTCGAATGCCAACATACACGGATGTCGACTGCAGCGAAACTTTTATTTATTCGGCTCAAAAACTAATTCAACTTGTATTATCAGCATTCAGAGTCAAAGCTGAGAGAATGAAAAAAATGTGTTGGAAGTTGAACTGATCAATATCTGACGATATCCGGTCAATCTGCCCAAAGACTTTTTGCTTGACGACGATTTGCCTAACGGACAGTTTGCCTATTAGGCGAAATATCCATTAAAAAACCGTAAGTTAGCACTGTACAAACCTTGAATGTCCGTTAGGCACACTGTCGTTAGGCAAAACGTCTTTAGGCAGATTGACCAGTCACGATATCGGACAACAGTAGTTAAGGCTTTGTACAATGCTAATGGTTTCGTTCGTATTGGAATAGCGAATGTATTCCATTAACCTGAGAATGCTGGCCGAAAGTCGGAAAGCATCAGCCACGAGGCTGAGTTGACGTTTCGTATCCACATCATCAATGGCTACAATTGCGCTTTCAAAATCGCCAATCACAGCTTGTAGAGGAAAACTTGAGACCTGAAATTAAACTTCCCATCCTTCGCCTCTTTTTTTCCGTGAATTTTGTTTTCAGAAGGAAATTTGGCTGATTTCAAATCGATCAAACATTTGAAACCTTTGCATAGAGGAATTCATAGTTGAATAAACACAATGAGAGCAATTCGTTGAGGCGTCTCGCTTTCAATAAATGATAGGGCAGTTCGTTCAATCTTCTCATATTGTAACGAATCTGAAGTCGAATCGAAATCGGATTAGCAGCTATCAGATATCGTATAAATACATATTAAATTATAAACTATATATTAATTAAATTATAAATACATCTAAAATATATCGTATAAATAAATGCATATTAAACATATTAAAGGAAACTGAATTCCAAATAACTGATACTCTTCATTGACGGTTCCTAAGTGGTTACACATTCAGATGAAAAATCGTCATTCGCTCTCAGATCATATATCATATCCGCACCGTTTGACAATGTGCGATGCAATGTTCACTAAAGAGCTATTTTCACTTGAAAATCGTTCCTCGATTCATCGTTTTCACTTCAGATCGAATGAAGACATCTATTAGCGCTATTTTTTTATCTGGGGAAATTCCCTGTCGTCTACCATACGAATTCCAAATTCATGTAGCAGATCATGTGTTCAACACTATTCTGACATCAGGAAGATGTTCAATGACAAATGAATCGACAAACAATCTTCATTGATTCAGATGACATGTCAGTCTAACTATCATTTTGTATTTTCATTGAAAGAGTCCATGTTTCTGAAGTGAAGTGATCTTAATTGAATTGAATTAGATTGTCGCTTGGGTTTTTCACCTGTTTACCGCCCTTCGAATGAAAGATATTCGGTTGTTTAGGAACCTTTCGGTCCGCAAGTCCTTCATTGTCAACAATACCAAACCTTCAAAAAGAAAATGAGAGAAATTTTGGAAAAATTATGATGTGAACAGAGAAAATTCTTCCGAACTACAGTAGGTCAAAAGATGTTGCCTTGAAGAATTTAGTTTTGATCGTTTTTTTTACAAAAACTCTCCACCACCTAATCAATACCTTTGTTTTTGCATTTCTGTATACTGGAAAGGTTTTGCAACACCGCCCCATATACCAAGGAAATAATCAGCCAGCGCTGAATGTGTACGTTTCAAGTGATGCACATCTCCAAAATACCGCTCCGTTGCGGCTGTACGAAATTGCTCATGGTACCTGGAAGCTTGCAATTCCATCGCTGTTTAAATCGCTATCACACCATAAGCAATCGTTTGCTATTGATCCCATTAGTTTCAATAAATATCCAGTTTTATCAATGAACCGATAAAACTTAATTCTATCGCAAATTCAATCATCGATGAGTTTAGTCTCTTTCACGATTCGGTAACAGATAAACTTCTCATCATAATACTACACTGTTTCAGTTGCTCGCGTTTAGGTGTATCACTGAAGCACAATGATTGAAACTTGCATCACAGTTTAATTCATTAATTGACCCTTAACTTGTTACTATCCTCATCAGTTCTTGTCTCTCTTACCAGTTCAAGACAATAACACCATCAGCAGCCCTCTCACTCAAGTATCCCGGCAAATCGGCCCGAATACGACTCCATAAGAGAGGCGGAATCCTTCGTATGGGTGGCAAGTGATACTGGTAGATATCATCAAGTACTTGGTCGTCCAAAGATATCTGAAATACAGAGATTTAATATTTGGTGGAGACCGTTCGCTGCTTTGCAGTCACATGTTAAGAGGAAGGATTCCAATTAAATAACAGAGCACGCTTTTATCCTATCGCAAGTTCTATGCTACCAATCTTCAAAAGCTGTTTTCCACAGTTATTTTCCGTGAGTACACAATGTAAATGGCCTGCTCGCCTAACCAGCGGGGTGACGTAAATTGAGGCTAAAACAATGCACACGAAAACGCGAGCTTTGCGGCCAGCAACGCTACAAACGTTTGATAGCCTGCTTGCCAATCCAGGTAATTCAGGTAAACATTAAGAAAAAACAAGTGTGAAGTTCATCCACATCTGAAGCTGTCTACTGTAAGAGCTTCTCTGTCGATCAACAATGGAAATAATACTCTCAATTGAGTGAAAGTATCACTACGATTACAGAATTCAGTTTCAATACGTTGAATAAGAGTGCATAAATGAAAGATTTAATGGATGAATGACTATCTGAAACAGTTTCATTATTACTAAATACAAATTGCTAGAGATTTTGTCATACAAAATTTCTAACATGTATCAGAATGTATCACTTTAAGAACTCACCAAATCCTCCACTTCTGAATCACTCAAACCCGATCGAGCAGCCGTGATATAGGAGAGTGCATGCGACACAAGAAGACTTCCTAAAGAAGGTACTTAAGTAGTAGATGAGTCGTTGGGGCAAATTAACCCTTCTATGGTCTCTAGATCTGTGAGATCAATTTGGAACATGTAACAGCAAAAAGAGATGTCGAAGAGTGGAGGGTGAGCAATGCATGTCAATTTAAGCTGATATAAACCGGTCATCCGGCAGAACCGCTTTGAAACAGTTCTTGAGGGTTATCGAGTCAATATCTGGCCAACAAACTCTCATAGAAGTGCAAATAATGTGTGGATCTACCAGCCGACTGATATCACCAACGTAGTAAAAAAGTCAAGACCTCACCCAGACGGGTTAGAATAACTGACATTGTCAAGTTTAAATATCATAACTTATCGATAAAACGGAATTAGCTAAAGAGTGGAGGGTGATCTCTGCATGTCAAGTTAGCTGTAGATGAAACTTTACCTATCTTTTTGAACATTTTATATGAACGGGAAATGGCTTTCAAATTCGACTTGTTTGAATGATTTCTTAGTTGCAACAAAAATTAGTATGCCGTGAACTAGATACAATCAGTATGCTGTCCTCAGTATACTGTGAATTAGGTACAGTTAGTATGCTGTCCTTATTGGTAGTATGCTGTTTATTAGGTACAATTAAAGATAGGTGATTGCGTTTGATCGAGCTTGAGTCGAAAATAATTTGCAACAACATATATATTAACCATGTTGACCCTCTGTTCTATCGAGTAGAGCATGAATACCCTCTTGTAATGAATGAAACAACAGCGTTTCATGCGGTCGTGAATATGATTTCCATCTGAAAGTTTAAAACAAAAGTGAATATTGCAATGATATGGCTGAAGAAAATAACTAAAGATGCAGCGGTGCCTTGCGACAGTGATGTGAATCAGTTTGACGAAGAGCGGCAGGGTGCATTCGGCAAGTGCTTCCGTTACGAGTTTCCATTGACGATCCGTTAGCGTTCGACCGGCTGATTTCAGCCATTCGGCTACCACTTCCAGTGCTAGACTCTGGAATGTGTTCAATTTTTTTTTGATGGCATATTCACGATTATTGTTGCACATCGCTCGTTAATTGTTATCAGAAAACACAAACAATTTGAGATTATGAAATAATGAAAGTGCAAATCAGCAATTCACCGCCACTATTTAATGTTGTTTGGTCACCCATTCCAGCATCATTTTAATGGGGTTCAGAACTCATAATCAATGAAGGAATGAAACTTTTTTTTTAATTCTCTGAATCAATAATTTTATCCCATGGAACCAGACTTCAACATTCTGGTGGAAAGGCATTGGGAAAGAGGCAAGGATTGCTTATGTTGAAGGAAATCATAAACTTTTATCTTTTCTGATAGCTAATTCTGATTAAAAGTTTGATGATATAATTCCAAATGAGTGATTAAGAAAATAAACCATTCCAAGTGATGGTACCAGAATGTATTGCTCATCACTTTCAACGAATCGTTTTATAACGGTTCCGATTCGACTCGCACCAGGAGTTATTGAGACGAAAAACTGGAAAAAAACTCTTTAGTATGAAGTAAACCATATCTGACTGAAGCAACAAACTTTGACCAGTTTCACCTTAACATGAGGGGGTAAAGTTGGTGGAAACCACAGAAGTTCATGTGCACCATCCAGATTCGACAGTAAATCCAAACTGTCGAAAATGATCACCTAAAATAGTGTCTATCAAACATGCAAATAAATATGTCTGAAACAGCAGATGCCACACATATGAGGTACTTGCAAACAAACCAGAGACCTGATTATGAGTAAAAATCTAAAGAAATTGCAGAATATAGAAAGGAAACATTTAAACATTTGAGGTATGCGATCAAGCTGAAGCAAACTGCATCATATTATGAATATGAATGGCGTTATTTGGTCATTCGATAGTGTTAATAAATAAACGCTTTCCAAATGATATTAGAATGATGATCTCCTACCAAAACATATTGCATCCCTCTTCCTAGAAATCCCTGGGCAGGGTGGGAGAGTAGCCCAACACCTTTTTGCTCATCAAATCAATAATCGAAGGTAGATATTCATGAAGCCGGATGATTCCCTGCTTGCATGATATCGTAGAAGATTGTCAACGAAGGAAGAATGTGATAACAGAGAGGCATTAACTTGTAATTGCTCGTTGAATAAATAAGATCTCATACCAATGGTCTTTGTGCATTAGCTAATGTAGTCATCTTTTTGAAGTGCATGAACAGCTTCGAGAGCTCCGTAGGACTTGTTCCGCGTAATTCTTCATCGAAATTGCATGCGATATGAAATACAATTGAATGCTTTCATCGACACAATATTCGCTACACCCAACTCCACTTCAACAATTCAGTAACAAAATTTGTGCTCTATGCTCCCTCCCCACTGAACAAGTATCTTACTCACTTCCAACTTACGACATATAAATTGTGAACAAATGTCATCTCCATCTTGAGAAAAGGGCACGATTCACTCGGAGTGGCATTCATGAATCTGAGAAAATTGGGCTTGTTTTTAATCTATGTATAGAAACAGACCTGATCACAAACGCTCGTTAGTAATGGTGTAATGCTGGAACTGTCAGGTGAAGTACCAAGAAATCTAAGCACTATTACTGGCTCCACTTCATCACTATACCAATGTCTGATCTCTCGTGCGATCTTCGCAAGCGTTGATGTTTTACCACAGCCATTTTCGCCCTTTAAATCTGTTTCTTATCGACGGCGGCGTTCCATGGAAACTTTCTCTTCGAGTAGCATTGTTGCAATGACTTACTTCGTTTTAGTCGTAATCATTTTACGATTGGTTATGAGCGAAATCTTGTTCAGAAGAGATTCTGAGCTCGGATTTAGGTTGATTTGCAGGGAAAGTTCATGAAATGGCACTGACATAATAAACGATTGGAACATTGCACGTTGATCGAACATAATTTTCAGCAACTCGCAATTCGTTGTCTCTTCCAAAGAACATCGCACTCACTGCCAATGCGTTGGAAATATGTTGTAACACCTCACTGAACAGACGCTCACGATATTTTTCGTGCTTTTTGACCGCTTTATTAACCTGAAACTCATTACAGATCACAGAAGCGCACCTAAATCAAAACAATCAGTTCGATGAATTACTTCCGAGGGAATGGATTGTACCGAGGAAGTTTCTCGAATCCTATCTTGCAAGTATACTTGAATGCCTAAACTCTGGTACGGTTTGTTTATTCCGGCAGAGTATCGATACGATGCATTTGATCAGTTTGTTCGATCAACTAAGACCTACCTGTGAATGGATAATAGAATTTAAAATATTACTGGATATTTCAAAAACAGTTGCATACGAACCATTTTCGTGATACTATCGTAAAAATCCTTGCAGAAAGCTTTGATATACTCAGCATGAAACACATTATCAACACCACCATTATCACACCATTCGATTGTTGTTCGTCGAATGTTGGCCACATCGAGTCTACTCGGTACGCGTTCATCGCGTAGATTCGATAGCAAATGTTGAGCCTCAGAACAGATCTGAGAAAAAAATGTTTGGCAAGTTCTCATCTTCAAGCCATATGGAAACTCGAGTTTGTCCAGAAGCCTGCTCACAGTTTTGTGCTTTTTTGATAGATCTGTCTAACTGATGCGTATGTCTACCTAGCGATAGGCCTATTTCGTACCTCATCTATCTAAAAAAATGCATATGTTGTCGGATATAATCCCTCATTCAAGCATTTTTCACTTATTGTCACGGAACTGTGGGGTGTGGTGAGTGGTTTTTTTACGACGCAGATATTACGATATCAATAGTGTCCAAGCTTTCAGCACAAAAGTTGGTCTCTCCTAGAAGATAATTCTGGTTTTATAGGTGAAAAAGGCAATCCAAGGAGTTGTAAACACCTCATCGTTGATGATGTCGACAAATTTGGATGCGGTTTTTGCTTGTGAAATAGCGATATTGTTGATATGACGAACGTAGCATAGGCAGTGCTCGTTTGGGTTTCTGCCTTTCAGGATGCCATGGATCACCTCTCGTTCGGTAACTGAACAATGCATGTTGAATTCAGTGATTCAAATAATTGGGTAATCGTCAACTGTATTCATTTGGTTCATTATCTAAGTGTTGTGCTCTACAAAAGAAGGGTGATGAAATTTTGAACCCATTTTCGAGAAAAGTGAGAACCGGTAGCAATGACACGTTCGAAAGTTTGACAGTGAAAATAGCCGAATTCGTTAGATAGTAGCAAGAATCATGCCTTGCTTGTTTTCAAAAAACAACTGATAACACAGGCCATTGTGAGGTCACTACTCTAATGAACAAGAACAAGAATTTGTTTTTTTTTTGTATGGACAGTGAGTAATCGAACGTTTGACGATAGTTGAATGAGAATTAGGGTTGGCCACTGGAGACGAATTTTTTGGGTATTTGGTATGAAGATTCAAAAGTGAATGCAGACCTGACATGAAATAATTGTGCATTTGCTCATGTGACAACTGTCCCCTGTCGTAGCACATTTTTGCTGCCTTCCTCAAACTCTTCTGCATACGTGCTTCTGTATCCCACCACATTGAAGCGGCTTGCTTTTGCAGTTTTGGAATGCGCTGTAAAATAACAATAAATCATCATTATTGCCTGAATGATACTGACATGATTCCTGATCTGATCTCTGCTAAATCCTCTCCTTCCGGTGGTAATCAATAGGCTGGTACCTTATTATTAAAGTTGACAATGATTGAACTGATTGGTTGTAGAATGCATAATGGCGGTACAGCATTCGCATCTTGGATATACCTGAAATCTGGTTTTTTACCCTTCCGCATGCTACATAATCGGAAACTTCATGTCGTTTTGAAAATAATTTGGATGCAATTCTCACTTCCACAATAATGACCTCACCTCAACGGATACTGACTGTGAGCATCATACATTAAGTTTGCAAAAACTCAATCTGATGCGATAATTTTGTTTGCAAAAGTTGTCCGTAGTAAGTGGCCATATCGCCCGTTAAGAATGTGAAATACAACGAGAAGAGGCTTCATCAGCTTTTATTGTTGGTTGCTATGTGATGAAATGCAAATTGAAAAGATAGAGCAGAATGTGAATTGTTGATCAAATAAGTGACCGATCGAATTGGATATTATACCACGTATCAAGCAGTGAAGTATCCTCGTGTTCTTCACGCAGCAAGCACTTCAGCATATTCAATTCGGTGCACAAAATTTCCGACGGCAGAGGTCGATAGCCGTATTTTTGACACAAAAATACCTATAATATTTAGTACATTCGAACACATAATCCTCATCAAATACGATCCAAGTACAAACTTTTCTCGAGATTCTTCTCAAATAAGTGACTTGAGCTGTTAAAAACCTTTAGGAATCGCCGGAAAGTTCAGTCAACAATATGCATGATGATCTCATGAAAGTAGCGTATTATAGAATAAATACTTCCTAGAGAATTTTCTTGATTAGTTGGCTTTAGGATTATTGAAGCACGCTTCCTGAGAAGTCGGCACGCTTATTGACATTGCAGCAAAGATTCACCACGAAATTCGGTCCCACTGAAAGTCGTTGGCAATTAGCGATTTCGGTCATGCACAATTTGGTTGTCATGTGATCATCAGTTGCTTCATCACGAACACCCCAACGCATGTCAACCACCTCAATTTATTTATGTTGATTCATAAGAGTGATGATCGAAACAAAAATGATTGGCACAAAACTCACCTGGAAATCGAGACCGTGAGTCTCTCGACAAAACTCTTTCAACTCTGGATAAACGCTCTCCATGAGGGCATTTCGCTCAACGGTCGTATCCGTGAACGTTGAACTTGTGAACACTCGCACCAATTTGGATAATGGTGCGGGTATATCAACAAAATGGCCTTTGAAAACGCGTTCAAATGCAGTCAGAACCTTTGGATCAACCTGAATTAGTAGCCAAAATCAACAAGCTTCTGGATATCTTTTTTTGAAAAGTGAGAGCCAGAGGGTCGCTGAAGTTTCCGAGTTGTTGAATTAAATATTTCTGAAAGAACATAGCTATTGGGCTATAAGAAGATTACGAATGTCAATTTGATCTCGAATGAAGATATTTTATTTGGCTGGCAATGTTACGATTCACAGAGCAATTGTTTATTGAGACTTTATACGCCTCTATGGTATCACAATTGGTTTGATTCATGAAATTCACACATCTTGTCACGGTTCCCATATACGGAAGCTTCCATCAAGCAGATCAGTGACTGATAATAAGCAATGGATTCGACGTACCTTTTCGGTTGAATCCTTTTCAGTTTGCTCGTCGAGTTGGGGAGGAACTTTAATCTGAACTTTTTTTGACAGCTCTTTTCTGTTGTTCGCAATATTATTGTATGAAGAACGCTTAATCGACTGTACTTTCACTGTTCGAGTGAAGTTTCGTTTATAATTCACAATAGAAACTTTTCTTTGATTCATTTCTTCGCATCAAATTTGACTTATTGTTAAACAATTGCGTCTACTTGTTTCCTTTCAAAATGGAATGAATCAGTACCAGTGAATCCCAGTGAATATTGTCAAGTATAGTAATATCAACTGAAATGATCAGGAATCCCTTGCCGAGAATGTTGTTTATATATGGATAAGAGTGGTTGGATTTGATAATAGCTTATCAAAAACAGAGAGTGTAACGACCCAGTTGAAACACTTCAGTGTACTCTCTCAGTGAATGTCAAGAGAACATGAAGTTCATACGAATGAAATGTTATTTTAGATGTATACAGCTGGTTAAACATTCAAAAATGTTCAGTGAAGCATTGAATTTATGCTTTCGTTCACATGTTTAACGCTACATTACATTAGAGAGTGATCTCTCCAACCTCGCAATAATTGAATCAACTTTGCAAGTGATGTTGAGATGCATAATAAATGAAAGTAAAAATGAATATATGCAATAAAGATGGTGATTACTGAGAAAGGTACGATGAAACAAATGACGAATATTGCGATAACGACAAATGTAAAATGATACATCGAAGTATATCATAAAAGTGAGCATTTTATAATGTGATTACAAAAACGGAGTATATCATAAAACATAAATTGAAGTATATCACAAAAGTATAATAATATGACATTTAATAATCTCGTACAGGTCGCATTATCAGTTGGATATGTCAAATACTGATACTTAACAAATCAAGTGAAATGGAAATCAAGCGGCCAGAATCCAGCATCCGTTTTGGGAAACCACTCATTCACTTGGTACTGAAATAGAATAACACCTTCACGGATAGTTGTTAGATTTGGAACTGACGTTGTTGATATAGGAACGAGGTGGTTTACAGGAGGGTTGGTTTCAGATAATTTACGAAATAATTTTAAAATATTGCAGGATAGTTACCTTCTAGTTACCTTATAGTTACCCTCTAATATATACCTAACAAGTAGATCATCGAAACATTATCATATCTTCATCACTTCGGATCTTATACCATTCAAAAATTGGATTATTCTTTTGTAGTACTCGATAACATTCATATCTCTTGGTGACTTACTTTATGGAATAGATCACCATATGACAAATCATGCCGCTCGTGTCGGTTTAGAATGATCATTCCGAACGATACGTTTCATCCGACAATTTGGTACTGTATTACCGACTAAGTGTGACAAATATTGATAGTCTATTTCCCATGCGTCGTAACCACACTTCTGGAAGAATCGTTTTTTAGTTGGCGATTATTTTTGGGTCACACACGAAGAGTTATGAAGGGAGCTGATTAATGTGCTGATCTGGAATTTCGGAATTTCATTTTTCAAAAAACGCACGGTTTGATCTAGAAACAACCTGTGTGAAAATTTGCTTCGAAAGAACCAGTTTGAAAGGTCACACTATCAATTTTTTTCTCGCCTGAAGCGCCACGGCCCAGATTTCAGAACTTCCTATATGCATCCCTCAAAAACACGCCCTTTGACCTACAAAGAATCTGACAATGAGTGAAATTTCGCTTGAGAAAAATCAGTCTAAAAAGTTATTGGTCAAGTCGTTTTTTTTCTTGACTACGAAAATTCAAAACTCGACTATAACGACCGACGTGAAAGAATTTTGATCCGACAAACTTTTGAACTAATTTTTCGGAGCGAACTTTCAAACAGGTTGTTTTTTAATAAGATACGCATAATTTTCAGCTTTTTGGAGTTTCATTTTTGTAATGCAAAAATTCTTCACTCTGATTAACAAGCTAACATAATCCAATTCGTTAGCAACGAAACAATACCTATCGCTTCAATTGATATATCAGAACTATTGATAAGCAGTGATACTGTTTGAATACGGAGAATTACAGTGGATACCAAAGGATTTGTCAATCGTTACAAAATGATGGCAATATTAGCAATCGTTCAGATGAAAAAATTGCTCTGGAGGAAATACGATCGAATCCAAAAAGAATTTAGAAATGCTTATTCACTTGAAAAGATAGCCAAAAACAACTCACATTTACGACAGTATCGTACATGCATTCGCTGAGGATGGAATAAGCGTCACAAGGTTCATTGCTGGGATCGTCTAATGCCCTTAAAATTTGAAATCATTCAAGTCATGAAAGTCATTTCACTAAGCCCAACCTCGAGATATGCAATAAGCTCGTGAATGAACGGCATGAGCACGTTCTTCTCTGCGTATGTTTTTACTATTTGTATTTGTAGTCAACATGAACAGTGATTTTAATCAGTTTTCAATTTGCTGAGCCGCATCGAATTTGTTCAGCATCAGTTGATGGATATATCAAAAGAATGAAAGTTTTTCAGCACCCAACCTTGCCGCATTCTTCTCACATTTAACAATCTTTTCGTCTTGTCGCACCTTACTAAGGCAGTTGAAATGCCGGAAAAAGTTCTCACTTGTGCCGTGTCCACATGGATAATTCAGTTGGAAGTAAACCTGCAAATGCAAAATCGGATTAAATGAATGATCCCTTTGTTTAGAAGGGCCAACATATGCAGTTCGTTCTGCAATAAGCCAATAACATAAATAGAAATGTTTCCCATTCGAATCGGCTCGTTAAGATAATAATGGAATCAAAGTCATATTATTCCTGTGATGCTCAACATAGTGATCGTCGGGGAACGGGGTCTCCGCCGGGGTTCCCGGCGGGAACCCTGTTTCCCAACGATTCCCCGAGATCTTTGCTTCTCGACTTTTTTGTCAGGGTCCCTCCGCCGTCCACTTTGCTCCCCAACGGGGTTCTGCTCTCTCCCCCCCCCCGGCCAAAAATTTGCTCTTCAACGAACATTACTCAGCATTGACTCAATGTTTCTCGGTTTTGGCCATTGTAATGAACCTTCAGCTAAAAACGCTAGTGCATACGCAGAATGCATAAATACAATATTTAAATAATTTGAGGTGTAAATTTGAGATGAATCGTTAATTTCGTTTCTCACAATGTTATATGTTGCAAATCGACGAATGCAATTCCGTTTCACGACTGATTTTGTGTTCTTCAATGCGTTGTTATAGTCGGCACACAGTCTTCTCAGCTCATGCTTCTTATAGCCGTATGCCACCTGATATGCGATGCTTGTTTCTTTCTCGTGACTTCTAACGTCCAACTCCAACGTTCTGTTGTAAATTTGAAAACATTATTTTGAAAAAGTTATGCGAGGAAAACAAAACCAGCTGCCAACTTTCCGCAAGCGTTGAACGAATTTAATCAAATAGACTGACCTATCATAAGATCAAAAGTTTGTGCATATCCTCTTGCGTTCGCTGACATGAGGGGAGCACTAGCAGAAAATTGAATGAGTTGCAACTTTGCTCTATGAAAGTTGATTTGGGAATTTTCGGTAATTTCAAATATCTCGCTGAAATTTTCCACGTGACTGTTTGTGACCACAAAATATTCGATGTTACAACTTACTTGAAATTGTCGTTCACTTGCTGTTGTTGCTCTGCGGTGCATTTTATTGGCTCTCTTCTAATCAATTTCGATTCCTCGTCATTAACGAATAAATTTCGTTTGAAATCAGCGTTGCATTCTGTCAAAAATTTTTGGTAATCGATTATTGGAATGATCGAATTTAAGAATATCCTCACAAAGAAAATTTTTGTGCTGAACACAAGAAGGCTTTGAAATGATCTGTTCGGGATCTATCGCGACGGAGCGCGAAAGAGATGATTCATAAGGGACACCAAAAGTGATATGTGATATCAACCTTTAAATCTGTACGTATATGTATAAGATGTACGGATATCATGCACTATCGATTCAAATGATGAAATATAACTTTCGTATATCTCACTTCGAGGATCTCCTCCCTTTTGTGTTTGTGTGATGTGAATGCTTTGCTTCGATAATACAAAACAGTGTTATTACAAAATAAACGCCGGAAGGATCGGTACGTAAATTGGATTTAGACTCAATTGAAAATTCTGTAATTTATAATGTATTTAAGTGCACATAATAATTGCAGATACTTGCCCGGTGATATATATTGTGATGCGCTTATTAATGATTCGTCGTTGACAATGCTTGCTTCAAGGGAGCATCGCTTTAGAATTGTCGATTTTTCACATCGCATCATCCAATTCAACGCCTCACATTTTTGTTTCTGCAACAATACACGGGGGACGAGGTGCGAAATAACCTGATGCGAAATTTCCAGGTGTGATAAATGCACAGTGGAATATATAATGAAGAAAGCTCTTTCTAGTATGCAAATCTACATGTCATTAGGTTTTATTTCATTTCGTTTTAAAAAGCACGTCGAATGCTTCCCCTTAGTGGCCACACACTGATCAAGACGTTCGCGAAAGCTTGCAATACCTCGATGGATCATGTCACGTGCAATGGCAATAATTTCTAGCCGGATGGCATGTTTCAGTTGTTCAAGAGACTGAGGGCAGTGACTGTAAGCTTTTGGTTTTAAATATTCCCACAGAAAAAAATCAAAACACGGGTTCAAATCAAGTTCAAATCGAGGAAGGGAGGGGGGCAACCGATATCACCGCGCAATGTGATCAAATGACCGGGGAACTTCTCCCTCAACATGCTCAAGTAACGTCTCGAAGTATGAACTGTTGCCCCATGCTGTTCGAACCAAACATTATTTCTGTCCCCAAATTCGCTCAGAGTGTCTCAAAAAAGTGTCCAGCAACGCACAATATCATTTTGAGGTAACGGTCTCTGTAACATTGTCTTCTCCGAAAAATGCGGCCCTAAAATAGAAGAAAAAAGAAACTGACGGATATTTCACCAACAGTGTTCGATATAATTATTAGAACGAACTAAAATAAAACCTAATGACATGTAGATCTGGAAAATTAAAAGAGTTTTGTTGATTGCACATTCCATTGGGACTTTATTAGACCGTTATTGCGTCAGATCTTTTTCCCCACCCTGTATAATGGTTTTTGTTTGTAACGTCCACTTAACAGTATCCAAATTTGATTGGAATTGCAGTTACAATCCAATTGTTTAACTTGATCGCTTTGAAAGGATCCCAATTCGACATTGAGAGTAAATGAATATTTTAGAAAAATATTGAATATTTTACGATTAGCAAAAATAAGAAGAACCATATTCCTTCCAACAATATGACACTTCATTTAGATGTTAATGGACAATCTTTGCAGTGGTTCGATATGAATATTCAGTCTTACCTGTTTCTCAACGACATCGGATGCTGATGCATCAATGAATCTCATTGCTCGATGTGTTGAATCCTCACAAACGGCCAGACGATAACTTTCAATGTGTAATTTTTGTATACAATCCAGATGTGTCTCAAAAATTCGTTGTTTCGTACCACAAACGTAACCATAAATCGCATCAATTTCCGCCAATATTGGATGTGATTTGCGGCACTCCTCAAAATTGAAATAATTCTCATTAATTTAGATGCAACAACAAATGGTTTTCTGTTGAGAAACAACATTCGTGAGAAATTAACGAAGCAGCAAAACTCATCGAATATTCAAATGACTAACAGTATATGCGACAGGTCCTATACATCTCAGTGCATGCCTGTACATTGCGCACATCTTTTGCAAATCCGTTTTATCGGTTTTGATAATCGGATTCAATGTTATCACCACTCCTTCTGTTTGCTGAAAAGAGCACAAGTTAACTATGGGAAGTAGTTTGTGTTGGTTACGATGAAAAACTTATTGTGATTTCTCTGTGACAAATTGTGATATCTCTATTCCAGTTAAGCTGTTCTATTCTTGTTCTGTTCCATAGTATAGAATAGAACAGTTCGCAAATGAGGAAGGAACAGTTCGGAACAGAATAGAGCCGTTTTTGAGCCCAAACGAACAGAATAGAGCAGTTTTCAAGAAAGTGGTATAGAGACATCACTAGTGACAATACGTAAGTAGGCAATCGCGTTTTTGCAACAGTTTACAAAAAATATTTTGGAACAATTACGAGAAGAAACCGTA